CCAAAAAAAAAAAAAAAAAAAGTATACTTAATATATTAACAACCATTCAAACCTGAAGTTTCTCAGCTCCTTGGAGAGATTGCAAAATACAGTTGGAGGCAGACAGCAGACTCTCTTACTGCTGTCCTGCCCATTGTGCCCTTCAAAATGTATCTCCTCTTTAATAAATTTACCTTTCTCAACTCATTACAAAAAAAAAGAAAGAAAAACACAGTTATAATCATCCTATAGGCAAATATATAAAAATTTTTAAAATATTCTCTAAAGTTGTACAGTAAGCCAGTTACAGTGAGTAAGAAACTCTGGTTCCCACTAGCAGTTATCATTCCTACTTTGGGATTTTTAGGATGAAGTCTGAGTTTAAAACTTGGTTCTCAAATAGTTCTTTATTTTATTTTATTTTTTTTTGAGTTGGAGTCTCACTCTGTCGTCCAGACTGAAGTGCAGTGGCACGCTCCCGGCCACCGCGCAGCCTCGATCTGCTGGGCTCCGGCGATCCTTCCGCCTCAGCCTTCCAAGTAACTGGAACTGCAGGTGTGCGCTACCACGCCTGGCTAAGTTTTTGATTTATTGTAGAGATGAGCTCTCACCAAGTTGCCCAGGCAGGTCTCAAACCCGCAGACTCAGACAATCCACTCACCTCGGCCTCCCAAAGTGCTGGGATTACAGGCTGAGCCACTAAGCCCGGCCTCAAATAGTTCATTTTAATTTCACATTTTCTTTCTCACATATGATTTTTGCCTACCCGTCGCCTCTCTCTTCTGGTCAGCACCTGTCCATGCAACAGCCTCCAAACCATTCTGGCAGCAACTTTGGTGTCAATCCAAAGTAAGTAGAATCCATTGTAATAATATTTAAGTTCATCCACAATTTTTTGTGTATAAGATCGCTTGCCTTCTTTAATCTTTGTACTAATTTCTTTTGTTGGCCGAGGGCTTGTCACCTGTGACTTTTCTGTGGTTTGTTCTTGCTGAGGTTTACCAGGGACCTCTTGTAGCCAGCAAGCTGATGTGTGTAGCTTTTGTATGAGTCTAGTTGGAGAGTGAAGTACTTTATTGCCTGACTGACTAGGGTGGAAATACTTGCTTCCATAGTGCTTCATATATGTTGTATTTAAATAGGAATCTGGCAAGTGAAGAAATGCAAATGATGGGAAATAAGAAGAGCAGGTAGGATGGACACAATGGCTAGGGAATCTGGAATAAAGAGCAACATTCTCTGAGTTGAGCATATATTATTACAACTTAAAAGTTAAAGAAATAAACATTCTATCTGGTTTTAAAAAATGGTTTTCAAGCTTGTATTTTAGGAGCAGCTGGTGTTAACTAATGAATAAAACATAATTTGTTGCCCCAGTGGAAGAACAGTATGCTATGGTTAAATGATATACTATATGAGAAATATTGATAATTCTTAAGAATAAATTGCTATAAGTTCAAAAAAAAGTTGGAAACTCTATGACTATTAATTTAACCTAGCCAGGCTCAGTGGCTCAGCCTGTAATCCCATGCCTTGGGAGGCTGAGGTGAGTGGATTGCCTGAGCCCGCAGGTTCGAGACCTGCCTGCAACTTGGTGAGACCTAATCTCTTCAATAAATAAAAAAAAAAAAATTAGCTGGGCATGGGCTACCATGCCTGTAGTTCCAGCTACTTGGAAGGCTGAGGCGGAAGGATCGCCGGAGCCCAGCAGGTCGAGGCTGTGGTGGCTGGGAGTGGCCACTGCACTCCAGTCTGGGTGACAGAGACTCCAACTCAAAAAAAAAAAAAAAAAAAAATTTAATCTACTAGCAAACATCTTCCCACCAGGAGTTGTATTTGACAGTGTTGTCTCTAGTATCATAAAATAGGTGGAAGACTTGTGTCTTCAGCCACTCTGATAATAGGAATATTGTTTTAATGAAACACTTCATGGTCACTGGGGATTAACCAATCATATAGCACTGCTTGATCTATGGACCCCTTTAATGAGAGGCACTTAGAGTTGAAATGCCCTTCATTTAAGACTTCTCAAGAATGTAAGGAATAAAAATTAGAATTGGGACCCCTAGCCAAGGATCTCTACACTCTAGTACTGCAACAACCCACAATCCTCAGTTAAATTAGCACATCAGCTTGTATGAAAATAAAATTAACCAGGCGCAGTGGCTCACACCTGTAATCCCAACACTTTGGGAGGTGAAAGCAAGAGGACTGCCTGAGCCCAGGGGTTCCAGATCATTCTGGGCAACTTGGCGAGACCTCTTCTCTACAATAAATTAAAAAAAAATAAATAACCAGGCGTGGTGGCACTCACCTGTAGTTCCAGCTACTTGGAAGACTGAGGCAGAAGGATTGCCTGAGCCCAGCAGGTAGAGCCGCGGTAGCCATGAGCATGCCACTGAAACTACACTCCAGCCTGGTTGACAGAGTGAGACTCCAACTCAAAAAGAAAAAGAAAAAGAAAAAGAAAATAAAAATAAGATCCAGGCAAAGAAATTTACTGGCAAAGAGATGACTTTCCCCATTATTTCAGATTTTTGAAGCATGCCAAGATAAAATACTCTTTGAATGGTCAAAAGAAAAAAAAGTAAGTTTTCAGTGAATATTCTTCTGAATAAATAAATTATAATAGACTTTAATGAGACAGGAATATGCCCTAGGACTGTCTTGTTCACCAGCCATTTTACTCATTTTTATATCTAAGGACCTCATGTAATACTCAATTACAGAGGTGTCACTCTAAAACCATACAGACTTCTATATTAACTTGGACCACACATCTACAAAATTACTCAGACTGAGTTCTAAAGCACACCCAATTCCATACCCATACCCATATTCAATTACAGAGGTATCACTCTAAAACCATACAGACTTCTATATTAACTTGTTCCACACATCTACAAATTTACTCAGACGGAGTTCTAAAGAAAATTTGGGGTAAGTTTAAATGCATTAAGATGTCAGCTTCCTAAAAACCAAGAAAGTTTTGTGTATTAAGCCAGTCCTTTTACACATATCTTTTCCATCCAGAAGAATGAAGTTCATATCTGCATAGGGATGGGGAGGACATTCCAATGCTTACCTTATTCGGGCAATAGCTAAGACTGAATTAAAACTGTAGAAGGCCATATTTATTTTTGTCTCAACTAGTCAACATAGGGACCTAGGCAAAAGGAGTAAGTAATTTAGTATTTTAAAAACACATCAATTAAAATATATCAGGATTTAAGCGTTTTTAACTATTACAATTGTAGATATTTGCATAGTCAAACTTGACTGTGTCATGTCAATAATCATGAATATTTTCATAGCTCTGGATTTGAGAATGGTACTATGAGAGGCTAACAAATGGAAATGATTTCTAAGGTGATGATGTTATGAAGCGAAGTGGTCTTCAGAGACATTCTGATTTCTGGTCTGTAGTAATTGAGCTTGAATGATTGTCTACGACTTAAAAAGCTGAGCAAGACACACTAATTGTAGACTAAAAATACAGGTAGAAATATCCTGGATTTGTTTCCAAATAGCTTTTTTTTTGGAGGGGGGGTGTGAGAAAGCAGGAGTTTTACAAAGAAGACAGGAAAGCTCCCGGCAGTGGCAGGGGTCCCGAAGGGTTGCCCAGCTTTTTTTCATAACTGGCCAAAGCTGTCCCAAATTCCAAAGGTTGAAAGTATTCACTAATCTCATTCATGTAGCAGTGAGGACATATACATGGTACCTACAAATCGCTCAAGTGGAGGTAAGACGGTTTCCTCTCGAGTAAGTCTCCAGGGCTCAAACTGAGCTTTGTACCTTTAAATAATCTTCACCAACACCTTTCTCCACCCAGCGGTGCTTTTCAACTGGGGCCAGCAAGCAGCAGCAAAAAGAGTTGACATCTCACACTGTCAACTCTGCTTTCTTGCAGCTGGGAAAGGAGCACAGGGTCTCTCCTGGATGGAAACCTCCATCCCGAGCTGGCATTGTCAATAGGGGTTAAGAACCTCTGGCCTAGACTAGCGGTGAGCGGTGTCCTGCTGGAGGAGACGCCGCGGCAGTCAGCTCCCCGGCGGGCTTTCCCCCAGCGTGTGGGAGCCGCCTCCCAGGCTGCGGGGCAGGGACCGGCCCGACTCCGCCTGCGCGGCGGCTGCCGGCGCCCGGCTCCCGGGTTGCCTCTGTTTCTGGCCCTTCATGCCGTGGGTGCACAGCGCGCCCGCGGCCTTCGCGCACGTGGCTGGGGGTGGCTGTTTGCTGTGGGGGTTCCGGGGGGGAGGGATCTTTGATCTTTTCGCGCGGCGGGGGGGCCGCCACTTGAACGCCGACCCGCGAAGAGGATCGCGGTTGTTGGAAATGACGAGGAGCGAGGCGCCGGCCACCGAGCAGACAGGAGGAAGCGACGCGCGGGAGGAGGGGAGTGGAGACGGAGCCCCGAAGTTTGGGGGGGGGAGCGGGGGTCCGAGGCCGAGGGCTGAAGAAAGCGCAGTGGGAACTGGAAGCCGTCGGGGACTAGGCGCCGGCGGGAGGGACAGGGTGCGGGGGGAGCCGGCGCCGGGGTGAAAGGCGGGCACGGGCCACCGAGTGACAGCCCGAAGACTCGGTCCGCCCCGCCCTACCTCCTCGTCCCGGCGCCCGGGAACGGCCGCCTCGGTTCTCCCAGCTCCTTCCCAACTCTTCCCCTGGCTCCCCGAGCTAGAAGGGCCCAGAGCCGAGACTCTATGGCTCCACCTCGCTCCCCGCCCCTTGACGTCATTCTGAGTGACGACACCTTTCACCAATGAGCTTTCAAGGTCTGGAGAGGGCGGGCGTCCTTCACCCGAGCTGCCCGGGAAGCCGCCAAGTCGCTTTCCCGTGGGCGAAATGATTTCTCGGTTGGGTTTAGCGTGAGGCGGGTCGGTGCTAGGGGTCCGGAGACTGACGTTTCTCGCCCTGTCCACACTTGGAGGCTGTGGCTTACCCCCGAGGAAACCCTTGAATGACGGCTGGATTAAAGAGATCCTTACCCCCCTGACCGCGTAATAGGTCTGACAGTCGCCATGGTAACCATCTGGAGTCACGCATGACATCACTTAGATGCATCTTCCCTCCGCCTCCGCAACTCCGACGCTGCCTGGCGGGGGGAGCAAAGGGGAGTTAAGGGGGTAGCAAAAAGGGCGGGAATCGGAAGGAAAACATCCCTCTCCCTTTCTCTCCAGCCAAAGGCTGGAGTTTTGTGAAATCTTCTTATGAATATCTAAATTCCACTAAATAAATTGACTTTATAAGTGTTCTAAGCGGTAGTGTCTGCCGGGGGCGGTAGCTCACGCCTGTAATTCCAGCACTTTGGGAGGTCGAGGAGAGAGGATTGCCTGAGTCCAGGGGTTCGTGAACAACCCGGGCATCTTGGTGAGACCTCGTTCCTACAATTAAAAAAAAAAAAAATTAGTCGGGCGTGGTGGCACGCGCCTGTGGTTCCAGCTCCTTGGAAGGTTGAGACGGAAGGATCGCTCGAGCACCGCAGATCCTGGTTGCAGTGGCCTTGAGGGTGCCACTGCACTCCAGCCTGGGTGACACCGTATGATCAGTAGTTTGTGTAGAAATCTGAACATTCAAAATGTATATTATAGTAGCTGTAAAATGACGTAGGCACTGCAGGTTTGGGAGCACCTCAGCTCCTAGGATGGCAACTGAGCCATCTTGGGAAGTGAAAGATCTAGAAATATTCTCGTTCCCCAGTTATCTCTTCTCATCCATTTTATCTGGCTCCAGAAGGAAGATAAAAATTTTCGTGGCTCTACTCTACCGGACAGCAAGAAATCGCTTTCTCACGGAGAACATGCGAGCTGATTTTATTCATCTGGACTGCACATTTCTAAGAATGAAAGATGGCGGGTATTAAGTTTCAGGGGAAAAAAAAAAAAACGTAGACTGCTTTTAATCCACAAAGCATTTTTCAACTAATAACCAAATGGATCAACTATGTTAAATAGGCAAAACTTTTCAGTTTGGCCACTAGAGGTCCCTTTGTGCATGTCTAATACTCAACTTTCCACATAAAGGTTTCACTTCACGTTCTATGTTTACTAGAATTAAAATCTACGATGGATCTTACCTTTCCCTCTCTGAAAATTCCTGGTGGTAAATGTTGAGCTCTAAAAAGTAGGTATAGTTTTCACTTTGATGTCATAAATAATCACTGTACTACCATGAACACATAGTTTTCTGGAAAAGATAATAAGGAATGCAAAAATATTATCCTCAGTTCCCTGGGAGACATTTTATACTGGGCAATATTCTTATTTATGCATTGTATTTACTTACAACCAGGCACAGCAAAAATTATTAAGTATTCATAAACTACATGAACTATTCCATGCCCGGTACTTGAAGAATGAGCTAGGTATTCTACCTATGGTCATATGTCAGCAATCCTGCTCTTAAAAAGGGTAAGAACCCTTCTTATTGAAATCTTTTTGTTCAAAACAATGTCTACCTTCTACTGTTATGAGACCTGGCAATTTATTTGACTTTCAGAATAAGTGATTTATTATGTAAGGAGTTTCTGTATATAATCTAAAGTAGAGAAACAAAAACATTTTCTTCTCCATGACTCTGGCCCTGAGAATTGAATTAGACTGCTGTATTAATGAACTGCTTGTTCATTTTCCATGAAGAGTATGCATATTCTGAACCTCAGAAGATGTAGATGCTGAAAATGTAAATTATTATTTTTCATGCCATTTTCCTAAATATGGCTCCAGATCAAATATTGCTAACTGTATTGTCTAATGTTTTGCAGGAAGAGACTATGCATCTGCTTTACATAACTTCAATTTTAAGCTCTTGTTGTCAGCATAGCTATTACAATAAAAGCAGACTAAAAACAAAATCCCTGAGGACAATTTACTAAATTCTCCTCAAAGGGAAATCCAGGTGCCAGGGCAAGGCAACAGTTTACCAACAAAGTATGGACGAGGCAGGAGAGGGAAAAAAGGATGGAGGTAGAAAGGATAATAGAAAAAACCAACCCTTTCCAAGAAATAGAATCAAACCGGACTCATGCATGTGTTTTTAAAAGACATATTTATCACAAATAAAAAATATGCTTTTACTCATTGTTTTAACTTGAGGTGCTACTTCACAAAGCTTAGGTTTAAAACATTTAATGATTAATAGTGATGGGAACTCTTCTCAGTATCATCCTTAATGTTATGAACAGGGTGATGCTAAAAAAAATCGAATTCGTAGTTAGTACTATTAAAATAATCAGCCGGAATCTCTAAAATTTCCTGTTCAAGTGGTATTTAAAGATAAAGATGTCAGGAATTTCTTGTAATAGTACCAAACAAATCCAGCACTATAACGTCTATGGAGGAGAGTATGACGTCCAGCCGTGATCTGGCTTTATTAATCTCGGAAGAGAGCAGAGTGGTGGTTTCCTCATCTGATCGCCACCTGCGTTTCCTCTGCACTTCCCGTCTCTGCGCAGTGACGTTCTAAGTCACCACCAGGCCCCAGGAACTACCACCAAATCTGTACACTCCAGAGGGAAGAGTTTACAGTGTCACACTCCTGGGCCCTTCCATTGTCTTACAGAATTTCCCAGCGTGGGGAGGGCAAAAGGATTACAGATAACCGCCCCCCTCTGCCTCCTGGTTCTTGCCGGTGCCGTCTAGGACGAACGCCCTCACGTCCGTCGACGAGCAGGTCCGGCGGGAGGCTGCCGGGGCCAGCGCACGTGACGAGCACGGAGCCGCCG